AGGTCAACTCGGACGGCGGCGGCCCCTACACTTGCGCCATCAACGCCGACGGCACCGCCCAGACCTGGACCGACATTACCGTCATGCAGAGCCCGCCCGGCCGCAACTCTCGCAATCGCGTAAGTCTTTGTGGTCTTGTGTCATTTCCAAGTTCATCACTAACACATGTTCCAGGATGGCGAGCAGTCGGACTTCCCCATGGTGGCCGCCATTCCCGCTGGTCAGACCTGCACGGGCACCGTCGCCGGCCAGGAAAACGTCTGCATGGTCCGCTGCATGAACGATGCCAACGCTGGACCCTTCGGCGGCGTCGTCCCCGTGCAGCTCGCCGGTACCGCCAATGCCACCGAGGCCCGCCGCTTGCTGGCGCGCGCCACCATGGAGAAGGCCCGCCTCTACGAGAAGATGAAGCGCGACCTTCACTGAGATTGATACCTCGTGCTTCATAGGCGTACACGAGAGAAATGGCGCTGGCGCCTAGGGGAATTGGGTCTACTGGCTTGGACAGAGTTCACGGGTTGTTGGGTATGAGTTGAAGCTTGATGGGTTAACTGGAGTGGACCACTGCAGTAATGAGAGCATCTTCCGTTCGTACCATGCGTAGCTGGAGTGGAGGCTCACAATAATAATGGAAGCAATCTACAAAACATGTGCCTTCATATTGTATAGACAAGATTCTTGCAGCCGCTTTATCCCCAATACTCTCACGTGACAAAATGTAGCCGCAGCTTTGGCCAAAATCACAGTGCCTTCAATTGTCACTCGGCGGACAAAACCATGCACAAGTCTTTTTCCTTTAGAATAGAGACGGCTCATTCGTGCACAGCAGTATGTTGTGCTTATGGGATGTTTTGGTGAACACATGGCTCTCGTGTGTGCTGCCCTTCATCGCGCACCACGCTGTCAAGGTTGAGCTTAAAACCCGCGAAGCAAGTCTGATGGATCAAGGACACTTCATCTTCAGGCGCTGGAAAATCTACTTTTGGGGAACGAACTCAAAAATATCAGACTGATTTGGGGACGTCAGCCGTGATGAGGCGCGCTCGTGGACATTGTATCGCTCAGGTACTTTCGACTGACGAGTACGTTAACTTCATCAACTCTTGTCTCTCCGGGCCGGTTGGGTCACAAGTCATGGTCCAGAATGCCATCCCAATAAGTAGTTTAAGCCAAAAATTGACACAAACGAGTACCAGAGACAAAGGGGAAAAAAAGGATGCTTGTTAGAAATGGTTCCTGGGGCACAAGTCATACCCATAAAACATCAAAAGAATGCCGATGTGAACAGTTTGGGCCAAAAGCAAAAAGGGTTGGGTCTGTGCCGCGATTCGAACGCGGGACCACCTGCACCCGAAGCAGGTATCATACCTCTAGACCACACAGACGGTGGGGATGCTTATTGGTTGTTACTTCGCAGACCCGCAAACTTCTCTATATACAGTAGCCTTAGAGAACTTCTCTATATACAGTAGCCTTAGAGAAGTCATGCAAATTTCCTAGGAGTCGTCGATGCTTCCGGGGCTGACATCGGGCGTCTCGATGCCTTCCGCAAGAACCGGGCCACTCAAATGGAATGAAAACGTTGGAATAAAATGGCGTCGGGCGTTCAGGGATCAATCTTGTTGGGCTCAATCAAGGACGCTGAATGTTGCGCGTAACTTTTGTGAAGGTATTCAATTGAAATTTCGTCCTGACCAAACTTATAATGTTCAATCCGAAACCAAAAATTCAGAAGTCGCTTGGTGAGGTGTGAAGGCCCATCGCCTCGCCTCTCACGATGACTGTCATTCCTATGTTGCCCGGATTTGGCCTCAGTACACATGATCGTCACCGCCCTCCCAAGAAGGCCAGGCAAGGATGTTTCAAGAAATTAAGTAAGTACTTTGCTGGAGGTGAATAGCACAGTAGAACACAAGTATCGTGGAAGCATTAAGATGTAAGTCCAGAGGCCAAATTTGGAGCACCCAGGGGATGAGGAGAGGTACCAAGTAAGCTTGGTGTGGCTATCAAGGGCCCCCCGAAGGCTCCATACCTCATCACAGCCTTAACGAATAGCGTGGGCAAGGATATTTCCAGGAACTGGGCCAGTACCTCGTTAAAGGTGAGCAGATCAGCAGAATAAAAGTTTCGTCTAATCATTTGAGTATTTCCCTCATTGTATGCCTTGATCCGTCATCTTTCCGTTCTGTCATATGGCTGCCGATCTGAAGATGTACCGAGGCCTAATTTCAGCATCCAATGGTTAGAGACTAGTCATTTAGCGGTGCGATTTGTGATCTTTCCACCCTCGCCCCGCCCCCGACCCGGGCTGCGCTGGTTTGGGGAGTGTTGTGACACATGGACAAAAAGAAAAGTAAAAACTGAGATGGGCTCTCGCCGCGATTCGAACGCGGGACCACCTGCACCCGAAGCAGGTATCATACCACTAGACCACGAAAGCCGTGAGGGTGCTAATTGGTTGTTGAAAGTCGCCGACGATCAGTAGGTTTATAATGGATTACCCTCAATGCTGCCGTGTGCCTTCGCCAGCATTGGTCCCATTGCTTGCAAGCAAAAGTACGTGAAGGCAGAGGCCACCAGAGCCAAACGCATTTCCGTTGTCGCGGCAAGCTTATCGTTCCTCGCAGGCCTAATAGCGCAGCTTTGACCTCCGTTTTGCAGCCTGGGTTCGGCTTCATAACAGGCAGTTCGGCGAGAGGTAATACTCATGGTGTCTCCGTTGCTTCATAAAGTTTTTGCGTATACGCATTTCGTCCCATGTTTTGCCAGTGCATAGGATGAATTCTGGAAACAGGTCAGGATTGTCATCCTGCCAGATTTGTCCGGCAACCGCGGCAGCACTTCATGCAGAATCGATCAAAGCCAAGATAACAGCACCCACTCCCCGGAGTATCTAGTTACATAATCCACATCTTTTTGAAGTACCTACATTGATTAGTGAGCCATGCGTTTTCAGGTATGATACTGCTTGCACTCAGAGAGTGCCTGCTGCTCTGTCCTGAGCACCACGAAGAGGCCCTAAGAGCGCCTGCTCCACCACGGCAGGCACTGCGTCCTGATTAGTATGACTTCGGAGTGCCTGTTGCCCTACAATCAACTTCGATTCGTAGTTGCGTCCAAATCGCCGTTGCTGCCTTGCCATACGTCGCCAAAGCCTCCGCAACAGCAACTCATGCCCCTTAATACTTTATCAGCATCCTAGAGATGCACAGATCCGCCCTAGCTGGCAATTCGGCATGGTTCCTTTCTTCAAACCAGATTACAGGTTATTGACATGTTTTTGGGCTGTCACACAAGCTAACCTGGAGGAGCTGACAGCTGAACAACCGTCGAGCCATTATAACCCGGAGCCATAGATGATTGAGCATTTTGATCACCCGAACTTCATCAATATCCAACTGAAAATTATTGGGGGGTGAAGGGGGGGGGGGGGTGTCCTCTCACTATTCCAACAGCTTGTTTGAACAAGCATTCATTTGTTCTCTATTACCGTCTTTGCGCCCCATGGGCAACGAATGTTTGAAATAATTTCGCGACCAATGCTCATTTCAGGTTGCAGCATATCACTTACGCGCTTCCGTCTCTGCTGATCAATTCCATTTTAGTTTCATCTTGTTCAAAACCAAGAAACCGGTGTATAGCTTTGCAGGTATGTCACAGCCTGAGGCGCAAACATCATAGTCCAGACTTGAGGTCAACTCACCCAAGCATGCAGGATACCTGATCGCAGTATTTTGAGTCTCGTAGTATGACGTCCAATGCCTTCCGAAGCATTCTAAAACTGTCAGTACTTTGCCCGCAAAGGTAGTCAAGCTTCTGATACGCCCTACATGACCTCACACTGCAGATAGAAAGATGGCCCTCTCTGCCATATCGGGACTGAAATACCTCTTCCGTGTATCCAGCTCATCAGCCTCATACACAACACGCTCCGTAACGAGATCAAACGACCCCTGGCCGCCTTACCTTCAGCATCGAAGGACTGTCACTATAGATGAAAGACAACGCACACCCCTCATCCACATCACATTGATCAGTAGACACCTCCGAGCATACTAGAAAGGGGTACGATCTCCAGCCGTTTACTATAGACAACCTGAGATAACGGAGCGCCGACATCAACTCAATTTCTTGCTCTTCCCCGCATATAATTTCAACTCCGGTTGGCTTGCCAGACTGAAGCTGATCTTCGTACAGCCAAGGGAGCCACGATTACACTAAAAGCCTATAACCGTAACACTTGAGCATCGCACTTGAGGTTTGAGTAATTGGCTAGCATCCGTAGTGTTGGAGACGACCATTGAGTGAGGCCGTATACCACCTCTTGTGTTCATTGTGAAACTTGGAACGCCCGACCTCACCATGGCGAACAGCTGACGAGGAGGCATACCACCCACAAGGGAGAAGACTAATCCTGAATTCACCAGTGATGAAATCTTCCAATATGCTCCTTCATAAACCCTTTGACATGTGGTCCGTACCTTCATGATGGCATCCACAGGCCACGGCTTAGGGCCCGAGTTGGACGTGAAGGTCCCATGTCTATGCCCTCAGGAGACTACATGAGGAATTAGCTCTTATAACGCACACAAGGTACGAACAACAGATGTTCACAGATTCAAAGGGTAAGATCAAGATTCATAGCTTGATGCTTTGCTCGAGGTCATTGGCAGAAACATGGAGTCTCTAAATCCTTTGCCTGCCGTCTCACAAAGTACGCCTCGATTGTGTGCCTCCACTACCCAGAGCAGAGACAAAAGCCGCTCATCAAACCAAGAAACACTCATCAAGCTATGCAGAATGCCACAGGGCACCAATAACAGCATCCAGGGGACATATACAGGGTGTGAATCAAGTGCACTGCTTATTGATAACCTATATTTACATGGAGTTTATAAGCCTTCTGATCGCCAAAAGCGACTGCTCATCAATTTTCAGTACTGAAGCAACGAGCATATCAGTAGATTCTCCAATGCCGTACATGACAGTGGCAAAGCATCTCATGTTCTCGGGATATCGTCCTTGCACCCGTCCCAGATGGTGCTCCATAACCTTGTCCCCATAATCTGATTAAAGTCCCTCGACTCGACTGCCCCGTCCGCTCGAGGCGCGAGCCATCCCTCCCGTCGTCCTTCGAACGAGTTAATCCTCACATCAGATCCTTTAACCTCTGGCTCAGCCGATGCTTCGTCAACAGGCTGCCCCGTAAACATTGCCAGCTCAACGTCGAAGGTCATCTGCCGACGGTGTGATGGTGGGTAAGTCTGCTGCTGATTTGGAGCAACCTCGGTCATGGCAGTCTGCGAGAGCTCCGTCGCCGGCGTCTGAGACGTGGTTGTCAGGGCCGTGGCGTCAGCTGTCCGCCTGCCGGTGACCGTGTCCCACCAGTGCGACGTCTTGTCGACAGCAGGGCTCCAGCGGCCGGTACGCGGGACGTTGCGGGCCGTAGAGCGTTTGCGAGCGGACTGGTGGCGTTCAAAGAGGAGATTGACGGAGGGGAGGCAAGCACAGATGAGGCCTACAGTGAGCTCGACACATCTGTATCCAGTCAGTACATGGGCAGCTGGCGGAAGCAAAAAGTACATACGTCGTCAAGCCAAGAACGCCGAAGTCGGCTGTTACGTCCGTGGAGCCGACGAATTGGACTACCCTGATCAAGCGAAAGATGGTGACGGCTGTTGCGGCACCGCCAGCCCCAAGCATCAGGATGATCTTGATCTTCTTCTTCAGCGGCAGGTTCAGCGACCAGGTCATCGGGATTGGGAGGATGATAATGACGAGGTCAGCCATGACGGCGATGGACAGGTCGACGATGAATACTCTGCGCTGATTGATGCATCGTCCCGATACGGCAAAGTCCCAATACGAGTTGATCGGCACGCAGATGATGATCTTGATGGTTTGCACGGGGGTGTAGAGAAGGAGCAGTGCCCAGAGAAACCAGTGGATGCCTTTGGCGACGCGCTCATTGACGGCGAAGACGCGGGCAATCAGCAGCAGGAGGGTGACTTTGGTGATGTATGCCGCTGGTATGTAGACAATGGAACTTGCATAGAGCCACTTCATCGATCAGTTGTCGATATTTCGTGAGCAAAGGGGGTACGTGGGCTCACCTTGAGCACTTCAGAGTAATTCTCCACTGTCACTTCCCAGGCGTAGTGCCCGAGACCGTAGTGGATCACTGCGATGAGTTGAGCATGAGAATGAAAATGTTGACCATATGTGTCTTGCTCACTGGTGAATACGGTGGCGGAATAGACCAGGATCAGAACCCAAGATACCAAGCATGCCCCTGGGCGTTGTGTTAGCTTTCGTCATCTCCAAATCGAGAGATATGTGTCGCACGTACAGTCGGCCAACAAGATGCGACGATTGATTGAAAAATCTTGACGTAGCCTCGCAGAGAGACGAAAATGGTGACGAGAACATTGCAGACAATCAGCCCAGCCAGGACCACCACCCTGCCTGCGTCTCGTGGATGGTCAAAGTCTGGTGTGACGCCCGGCGGCGGCGGTAGGTACCCAAGCTGTCGAGAGGGCTCGCTATCGGAGGATGCCATGTTCCCCAGCCCTTGTCAGGAGGTTCGGGCCGTGAACGACTGGCTGTCCATTCTCGTCGATGGTGTATCGGGAGAGACTTGAATGGACAGTCGCGGCCAGGGGGGTTTCGCAATATGATCTATCGATTCCACGTTCAATCCGAGCTCGATAGAAGAGCCAGCAAAGTAGGCGTAGGGGAAAGAGGGGACGTCACACTGTTATGGGAGCAGATGTGGTGGAGGGCCCGTTGGGGGCGTGGCTGCCAGGGCCCGCACACATACAAAGACAAATGGGACACTGACAAGGCGAGTCCACGGACGGACGAGATGGCCAGAGGCCGGCTCAAAGCTAACTGAATGTGTTTCGAGCTCGGACGATCTACATGGGCAGAATGGTCCGGCTTAAGCGGGGGAGCCCGATGGCATCGCGGCGAGTCAGGTACTTGAGACCTTGAGGCTTCGCGTCCGCTACGGAAGGGCGCTGGAGATGCGTGTAGCCCAGGAAGTCACGGGCGGCGGCGAACTCTAATGCGGCAGAATGGGCTCCCTCGAAAGGTCCGTGGCCACAGCCACAGGTCCTTTTTGAGTTTGACTCGCGCGTCCAGGGGTTCCTAGGGCTGGGCCCGTTCACCTTCTAGAAGCCTTTCTTTTGCCGCCCATTGGCGAATCTTCGACAACGCATGGGAGGGGTCCGGCTTGAGACGCGGTTGGTTCGGGGCGCCAGGCCCTCGAATCGAGCTACAAGTACAGACAAGCTTTCGCGTACTGGGATCAGATTCAGCCATGCCCAATCCTTATCAAGGTCCCGCTGGTTGTTGGATTGGCGTGTTAGATGTGAATGATCGCCAAGATGCACAAGCCGCATGGTTGGTAATCAAAATAGGATCGACATGATGATGGCGAACGGCTCAGGCGATGTTCTCCACGGGTTGCGACCCTCGAGCCAAGATGCTCCGAGTCGTGCTAGGACTCCAGGGTCTGCTGGCAGTTGCTACTTATACACGCAACTGCGTCTGTCTGCGATCCATGAGCAGTTATTTATTGCGTCTGGACCGTCTGGTCAGGCCAGCCTCTCGTCAAGTAGCGCCTTGACATCATTCAGCCTTTCATCCGAAGATGTCCAAAGTCGGCAGCTGGTCTTCTTCAACTCCATTCAAGGCTGGAAGTAAAGAAACATCTTGCAGATGAAGCAATAAAGGGAAGCGATGAGAGAACCCGCGGTGGGAAATCGCAAGTCTATGCTCTGCGAGAAATGGGGACAGCCGCGAGACCTACTTCCGCGAGATCATACCGCCAAAATGGCCAGATGGCTGTCGCCAGCGGTCGTGACATGGCAATTGCTGCCAGGGTTCGCCCTCAGGGAAAGGAGCTACACAAAATGGCGTTTCTACATGTAGGTGCGGCGGGTAGCAGCCAGTCGCAAACCAGCCGCATGACGACCAGAGCTCTCGTTCTGGCGCTTGATCCCCCGGGACAGGGGCCGCGGAAGCGGGCGAGGGTCCAACATACTTTTCTGGATCAGATTGCTATTCGTGCTCGTGATCGGAGCATTTCCCGTCGTCACCCGAGTCATTGATATACGTTGTGCGGACTTTTGTCGCGATAGAAGCGTCCGGTTCGTGTCAGAGTCAGGGTGTTTCACCGTCTTGGCACATGGTACTTCTCCCCTGTGCTTGGTAGAACAGTTTTCAGTACCTTACCAATTGGGCGACTTACATATCTGAGTCGAATGTGACGGGAGCTGCACCTAGGACTTTATTATATGGGTAGTAAGCACTAATATATGCAGTCGGTATAGTCATAGGACGACATAAGAAGTTCATCTAGTGCGTTTGCTGATCGCAGACAGACATCGTAGCTATGCCGGGTCATACTCTCCTTAGCATGGCTGGTTCTGGCTGACTTTGCGGAAGAAGCATCGTGAACTAGGATCTCGGACTGTGGACCGGAAGGTGGGGTTGATGCGTTATGTCATCAGTGACCGACATCCGAGTCTGACTTGTGCTGACTCTGGAGATGAATGGGAGATATTCCGGCATAGGGACTGTGTGTCCCGAGTCATCTTCCCTCTCTAAAACACATCCGCCGAAGCCGGCCGTGAAGTGTCTGGATCGAGGTCGCATCCTCGGTCAAGGTGCGGCAGTATCGGGACAATTGTCTATTGATACTCGATTGCATTGCGCTTTTGCGCCTGCATTATTTCTCGCTCATTCCCCGAGTCAGTATCCGAGGAGAAATTGCGGCTTGCTTCTGTACAATCCGGGATTTCAGAGTCAATGGACAATCCACCTCGTAATGGTACGTGGAGACCTCATGAGAATCGGCATGACGCCGATCACATTACAGCAGCATCTACAGCCAGAAGCTCGTTCACAAATAGTACGCAAACGCAACTGGAAAAGGGGTTCCTTCTTTTCAACCATCAGTGGGTATGAGTGCCATCTCAGAGGGCCCAGGTCAGCGATATAAGATGAGAGATGAGCGGGTCCGCCAACCTCGACTACTGTTTTGCATTCGGTCTCCCCAGCCCATCTGTAACATAGGCCTCCAAATTCTGTCGAGAGAAGCTGACAGCGTTTCTACAATACATACGCGCTAACAATTAGACCTCACGCACTGCCTTATCTTGCATCTTATTGCCACGAGTGGGTTCAGTAAGGAGACTAAAGCTCGTCACCGCCTACTCCTGCGAGATCCTTTGCATCTCTCCACAAGCCCCGTATGACTCGATTCAGAGTTGTCTCATTTCTGTGTTGTCAGATGAAGCCGTGCGCTTGTCCGTTTACTCCGGCAACAGCGCAGGATCTGCACCTATAGGATAGAATGGTCTCCAAGACTGTACGGCTCGAAGTGCCGGAACGACCGCGCCAAATCCCTGTAGCGACTCACTGCCAGAGACCGAGGGAGGTTTCCTAAGAGGAGCCATCGCTGGGTTGCCTCTTCACAAACAATGCACCCAAGAATCATGTTCATCGAGAGCAAAGGGCCCAAAAAGCCGTTACACATCAGACTAGATATCAGCTACCAGGCTCTTAGACGGACACATAGTATGGCTGAGCAGCTGTAAATCATGCCGTTCGGACCAACTCACAGCAATTCAAGAACCCGAGAAACAAATAAGAATGTACTGCTCCTGAAAGCTAAAACAGAAGCACATTGCCAAACCAACAAGATGCAATGAGTCATACCGTCCATCATGTTCCGTACTGTACAAAACGCCATTGATGCCAAGGGCACGCCCCAAGATGCTTACTGTACAGGTTCCCTACTAGCCCCGAGCTCATGCGCGCGCCGTGTGAAGACGAGGGGAGTAATTGAAATCCACAACCACGAATGATAACGAGAAGGCTTCCAGTCGCTAGAGAAACAAAACGTTGCAGGGTTCGAAGGGTGGTGGAGGCACAGCGTTCTGCATGGCATCGGCATCCTTTGTTATACAGATGCAGTGGCTTCGACCAAAGGTGCGGTCCTGCACACCATGTTCTGCCGCTTCGAGGCTTGCAGACTGTGGATACGCTGACGGCAGTCACTGCACCATGTTGTTGACCTGCAGCTACAGCCAGCGGGCTCGTACGAGAGCTCATCGGGCCCTTTTCTTTGAACCGGCCGGTGAGCGGCGCTTCTTCTTGTTGAGTTGACCATACGCCGTTTCGAACGCCTGTCGTGTGGTTAGCAGCAGACTTAAGAGGCCCCAAGCGACCCCTGACATACCTTGACAGAGTCCAGAAAACGCAGGATACGGTCTTCAATCTCGAGCCCGTTCGCCCTGTCCTCATTCACTTTGGCCACCACGAGTCTCGAGACGACGCCAACATATTTCGCTGCGCTGACGCCCATGTCCTCATTGGTGATGGATGGGTTCCGCATCTGCGTCAGGACGATGGCCATCCACCGCTCAAGACCGGACCACTGCAGGACGTGCCCGCCGAGCGCCAGCGTCTGAGGCGCGCGTATGCGAAAGACAAAGTGGATGGTACCTGAGACAAAGAAGACGGTCTGGCCAGGCTTGAGCACGGTGTAGCGCCAGCGGCCGCCGGTGTAGGAGCCCGGGTTGGCAATCCATGCGGCGCGCTCCTTGTCCGTGGGGTCGGAGAGCCAGCCGAAGCCAATGCAACCCTCCTGCGCCGTGATCCAGGTCGAGAAGCCGTGGCTGTCCGTGTGGGGGGCCGTGTTGTGGCCGCCCTGCGACATGAGGACCCATTCAAGCACATTCCGCCACTCGTTCCACTGTCGGCTGGAGGCGACGACCCTCTCGGCGCTCTCCTCCATGAGGACCGTGTCGCGGACTTGGAGGAGCAACTGGCAATTCTCGCCAGACAAGAAATTTGGCAAAATCGCCGACGGCAGGGGGCTCTGCAGGTCGAGAATATTCCACGGGTCATCGGTGCTCTCGTCGGCGAGGTAGCGAGACTTGACCTCGCTCAGCTTGCGGACCTCGAACGACTCCGAGAGGGCGCTGCGCGAAGGGATCTGGACCGAGATGAACCTGTCAAGGTTTCCCATGCGACGGAGAAATTGGGCGATTGGGCGCTCCCTTGTCTTCCAGCGGAACTGTTGCTGGCCGTCGGTGACGATGGGTGCGCCGTGCGGGGACTCAAAGTCGACGAGAGCCTCTGCTTGGTCGCCGCTGAAAAAAAGCATCTCAATGGCGCCCTTGTCGCGGGATGTGTTTGGCGGCTCAGCCTTTTCGAGCAGCTCCTGGATCAGTCTGTTGGTTCCCTCGCCATGCGTACTCCGTGGGAAGATTGTGTCCTCGACCTTCTGCCGCAGCTCGGTCAGGACTTGCTTTCGATAGGCCTCGTCGGCGTCGCGGTCATGCAGGGCCCGCCCCTGTGGCGTGGTTTCCATGTGGGATCGGGTCGTCGACTCGCTGCCTCTTTGGCCTGTGCTCATCGACACTGCCAAAAGAGGATGTGCGCTGGGCGGCGGATGCAGCAGGCGTGGTGAGGTTCGTAGCGTTGGTTTCTATCGCCGTGGTTGGAGTGATATGGGGCTGAACATCCATTGCCGCAGCGGTGTGCTCGGCGAAATGTTGCAAGATGCGGCCGGCAGAGCTTGCCAAGAAAGGGAGTCAGTTTCGTCGCAAAGGATGGTGTGAAAGCCGTGGGAATGTCGAGGGCCAAGAGAAGCATGGGTGGGACGTCATCGGGGCAAACACATCGGGGGTCTGCCGCCATGGGTTGTGCTGGAGGCGGGTGGTGACCACGTGTCTCGCCTGCCGGGTTCTCAGAGGACTGGGTGCTCTGGCTCGCCGAAGCCTTCGTCTTGGGGGGCGCCAGTGTCGTGTGCTCACGAGGGATGGGCACCAACCGGTAGGGCGACCACTGAGGAGCCGCTGCCGCCGCCGCCGTCTTGACGCTCTCCCGTATGGAGGGTACCGGCGTGATGAGGCTCGTCGCCGGCCAGCTCACAGGCGACGAGGAGGCGCTCTTGATGGGCGGCCAAGCATGCTCCAGCGGGACCATGAGGTGGAAGTCGTCAAAGCCGTAGCCCGGAGGCAGGTCTTCGTCGCGCAGATGTTTCCGCGGGTAGGTGCCGTTCTCCCACCACTGCGTGATGCGCTGAAGATCCTCGACGTCGATATGACTTGATATGTCGCGTGCAGGATGCGACGGCGGTTGGGTTGCAGCGCGCTCCTTGGTGCACCTGTTGAGCGCGACGACGGCCTTGTCAAAGGTGGGAATCACACGAGCGGCGATGCGAACATGATGGCAGTACTCTGGGCCACCGAGGACCAAGTCGTAGTGAAGCACAACGTGGCGGCCCCAGCGATGGGCGACCTCGGTCAGGGCGTCGAGACATCGAAGGCGCGCAGCGTATCCGATGGAGGCGAGGCCGAAGAAGCGATCCCACGGGGCCACGTGATCCTCCCGAAAGGTCACAGCAAGGGGCGTCGGAGGGCGTCCGGCCATGTCGACCCTCCACTGGAAGTACTCGGCACAGGCCTTGGCGGTGAGGCGCTCGGCGCAGGCGACGAGGATCTCATGGCCGCCCTCGTGATCGATGAGCTGGTCGCGCAGCGCGAGGCAGAGACGGTCCCGTTCGGAGGCGCTCGCACAGCGGTGCAAGGCGTCGCGAAAGGCATGCAGCCGTTGCAGCTGATCCCGCGTCAGGACAAGGGCGTCGTCGTCGTCGTCATCCTGGTCCTTGGCCGGGGGTGTCTGGGGTTGTGGGGCAGGCGGGGTGGTTGCGCATGCGCGCGTGTGGGAGACGGATGCCATCTGACGGCATGCATGGGGCTGGATGAGAATACTGGGGAGATGAGGAATTGGTAAGGGTGCGGTTGACGGGCGATTGTTCGCGTGGCAGGAGGGTCGTGGTGATGATAAGAGAAGGCTCGCGAGTCGCGACGAAACGCAGGTCGTTGGTCGTTGGTGAGGTTGGATCGAGATTGGGATATCGCCGGTGTTGGCGGTGACTGCCACAAACCGCAAACAAAGGCAGCCCCACATTGTTAGCGCACTTGGCGACAGCTGTCAGCTTCCTTTGTGCTATTCTTGAATAAGTCACCTACCTAGGTAGAGGTCGCATCGCTGCATTGCATTGACAGTCGCTGCACAATGGTAATATCTAATTGAGTATATTTTCGGAGGAAAAAGAAAGAGCATTGCGGAGGCGGGTGGTGGAAGGCGTAGCAGCCCTGTTGAACAGGCACTTATCTCACTTTGGTGTATACTCCTAAGTGCCAACCTGAGTGAGTCGAAGCTAAGGTACCTACACGATACCTAGGTACCCAGGTTCCTACCTACAAGCCCACCCAAAGGAGGTATAGGGAGCAAGTGGTCGACAAAGCTGTTGCAACAAGTGAGAGACTCCAAGATCAGGCATCTCGCTGTCGAGTACCAAGCCTACGGCAGGCCATTTTCTGTCGTTTGCTCAGTAAGTAGCCACCATTGCTCAGTAGGTAGCCACCAGTAGAATCCGAGTTCCGTCCACAAGTCCGAAGCGGGGACGGTTCCTCGTCATGATTATCATGGTCATCCACTCAACCCACTGCGCGACCCTCCGTATTAGCAATCACCTCCATTTTCCAGAGGCACGCCGCATCATGAATATATAACCCGTGTGCCGCTGTCCAGCGTTCCTCATCACGACATTTAATACCAATCGAATCCCTCCGACCAAAAATGGCTGACGTACAAGTGCAAAAGTGGCAGACCAAGCTCGACGGCCTCGAGAACCTTTTTAGGGCCACGAGCGCCATGCCCAAGCCCGGCAAGGGCGAGGTCCTCGTCAAGATCAGTGCCGTGTCACTCAACTACCGCGACACTGAGGGTAGGTTCTTCACGTTACTCGCCAGAATAATAATGGCCGCTCACACACACAGTCATCATGGGTCTCTACAACCACCACAAAACAGTCAACTCGGGTGACATTGACCCCCTCGTCCCCTGCTCCGACATGTGCGGCACCGTCGTGGCCATCGGCGACGACAACGACAACGACGCGCTGCTCTGGGCCGTCGGCGACCGTGTGCTCTCGACCTTCAACCAGGCCCACCTCACGGGCCAGATCAAGGCGCCCATCATGGCGTCGGGCCTCGGCCTGCCGCTCGAGGGCGTGCTGCAGACGCATCGCGTCTTCCCGGCGACGGGCCTCGTGCGCGCGCCGAGCCACATGTCCGACGAGGAGGCGGCGTGCCTGCCCATCGCCGCCGTGACGGCCTGGATGGCCATCAACCAGTTCCGGCCCCTAGGCGCGCCCGGCGGCCGCGGCGAGACGGTGCTGCTGCAGGGCACAGGAGGCGTCAGCGTCAGCGGGCTGCAGATAGCCAAGGCCGCGGGGGCGACGAGTATGTTTTTTTGGTCTCGTTTGTCGGCTTTGTTCTTTTCTCCTTGTGACCCCCTGAAGCAATTGCACCGCGTGTCCGCTGACAGCCCCAGCCATCATCACGTCCTCCTCGGACGCCAAGCTCGAAAAGGCCAAGGCCCTCGGCGCCGACCACGTCATCAACTACCGCACGACGCCCGACTGGCAGGCCCAGGTCATGGCGCTGACGGGCGAGGAGGGCGCCGACGTGATCCTCGAGACGGGCGGCGCGCAGACGCTGCGCAAGTCGTTCGACTGCGTCGCGTACGGCGGCGTCATCGCGTGCATCGGCTACCTGTCGGGCAAGCAGGACGAGGCGGGCGACCGGACCAACGTCAACCTGCTGGCGCTGGCGCGCAACGTGACGCTCAAGGGCATCCTCAACGGGCCGCGCGACCGGTTCGAGGAGATGGTGCGGTTCTACGAGGCGCACGCCATTCGGCCGGTTGTCGATCGCGTTTTCGGGTTCGCGGAGGGCAGGGAGGCGTTGCAGTATCTGTTCAGCGGGTCGCACTTTGGCAAGGTCGTCGTGAAGGTCGACGTGTGAAGGGCGAGAGGTCTCAAAATACCTTGGTACCTTACCTAAAGTAAGGTCCTAGCTGAGGGAAAAGGCAGTCTGGCAGTGTACCAGGCCTAAGTACCTACCTTACTTAGGGAATGCCACTCGGCCAAAGAAATACCCGTTAAGAGCATAGCAGTAGGGCCCCGTCTCGCCTGAGGGTTTGGGTTGCAGCCTTGATGGTCCTTAGGTATATAGCACACCGTACTACTGCTGCAATATCCTGCCGGATGCCTCGGTCACATGCCTCTGAGCTCTCCACCTCCACACTCTCTCTACCTCTATCTGAGCTCTCCACCTCCACCTGAATACCCAATGCAGGCGATACACCACCATGCAGACATCCCAGACCCCTGCCAACCGCCGAGCTAGGCACGCTGCTTCGTGTCAGACTGCGGGGCCGAGGCTCCTGCGTGGGCACAGTAATCGAGGGTCCTCAACCCCAGCCTTTCGTCAGCCCATTCATCTTCCGACAGCTCGACCCATCGTCGTCCCCGCGATTGCGTCCCCTCTTCCCCGGATTTCGCAGTAGGGTCCATCTCATCGACCTCCACCTCCTCCGACAAAGGTCTGCTCCTCCTACGCAGCTCCATCTCCCCCCCCCTCCCATAGCGATACGAGACATCCACAACCATGGCAGCCAAGGCAACTCCCGACAACCCCGTCCTCATCGTAGGCGGCGGCTTGGCCGGCCTCGTCGCCGCCTATGAACTCTCGCTACGCGGCATCCCGACCCTCATCATCGATCAAGAGTCCCGTCAGAACCTCGGCGGCCAGGCCTTCTGGTCTCTCGGCGGCCTCTTCGTCGTCGACTCGACAGAGCAGCGCCGCCTCGGCATCCGCGACAACAAGGCCCTCGCCATGCGCGACTGGCTCGGCTCCGCCCAGTTTGACCGTGAGGACGAGGACTACTGGCCGCGCAAGTGGGCCGAGGCCTTTGTCGACTTTGCCGCCGAAAAGGGCGACGACGGCATGGAGGGCTACGTCAAGGGGCTCGGGCTGGGCTTCATGTTCAACGTCGGCTGGGCCGAGCGAGGCGACGGCCGCGCCGAGGGCCACGGCAACTCGGTGCCCAGGTTCCATCTCACCTGGGGCACGGGGCCCGAGGTCGTCCGCGTCTTCCGCGAGCCCGTGCTCAAGGCTGAGAAGGAGGGCATCATCCAGTTCCGCTTCCGCCATGCCGTCGACGAGCTCATCGTTGACGAGACCACGGGCCGCGCTGTTGGTGTGCGCGGCCGTACCCTCGAGGAGACGGACCTGCCGCGCGGCGTCGCCACGTCCCGCACCGAGACGGGCACCTTTGAGCTCCGCGGCGCCGCCGTCGTCGTCACGTCAGGCGGCATCGGTGGCAACGTGGAGGCTGTCCGCGCCGCCTGGCCCGTCGATCGCCTCGGGCCCAAGGTGCCCAATCACTTTGTCGTGGGCGTGCCGGCCCACGTCGACGGCCGCATGATTGGCATCGCCGAGTCGAGCGGCGCCCACATCATTAACCGCGACCGCATGTGGCACTACACCGAGGGTCTCGCCAACTGGGACCCCATCTGGCCGTCCCACGGCATCCGCGTGCTGCCGGCGCCGTCGTCGCTCTGGCTCGACGCCACGGGCAAGCGCCTGCCGCCGCCGCTGTTCCCCGGCGCCGACACCATGGCGACGCTCAAGCACATCTGCTCGACGGGCTACGACTACTCGTGGTTCATCCTCGACCAGACCATCATCGCGCGCGAGTTTGCCCTCTCGGGCAGCGAGCAGAACCCCGACATCACGGGCAAGAGCCTCTGGCAGCTGCTGACGCGCGTCTTCGGCAAAAAGGGCACCGTCCCCGTGCAGCGCTTCCAGCAGCACGGCGCCGACTTTGTCGTGCGCGACACGCTCGACGCCCTCGTCGACGGCATGAACGACCTCGCCCGCGAACGCGGCGGACCCGCCCTCGACTCCGCCGCCGTGCGCGCCACCGTCGAGGCCCGCGACGGCCAGATGGCCAACCCCTTCTCCAAGGACGCCCAGGCCATGCTCATCCACAACGGCCGCGCCTACTGGGCCGACCGCCGCAGCCGCGTCGCGCCGCCGCACCGCCTCCTCGACCCCAAGCACGGGCCCCTCATCGCCGTCCGCATGAACCTGCTGACGCGCAAGACGCTCGGCGGCATCGAGACGAACCTGCGCAGCAACGTCATGAAGACGGACGGACGCACGCCCTTTCCCGGCCTGTATGCCGCCGGCGAGGTCGCTGGCTTTGGCGGCGGCGGCGTCCACGGCTACAACTCGCTCGAGGGTACCTTCCTCGGCGGCTGCATCTTCTCTGGCCGCGCGGCCGGCCGGGGCATTGCCGCCGAGCTGCTTGGCGAGGACGGCATTCTCGATGAGAGGCTGAGGAATCGGGAGCCTGCGAGCAAGCTGTAGACTTGAACATAGTGAAGTACAGGGGGAAGAGGAGGATGGATTAGCGGTCATGTGCATCTTGTTGTGTGAGATATGTCGTAGCAAGCTTGGATTCATTTGATTGCATTTCATGGGTCTTTACCTAGATACGCTTGCTCGCTGTGGTGCCCGCAGAGAGCGAAATGGCCTGATTGTTTCATCACAGAGCGAGACCGAGATATGATTGTCTCAGAAATATGCATTAAGACCGAGCGAGGTCTTGACGGATGGCATGAATTACTCGATAAGACACAACTGGCTTTCGCTTTTTGGGAAACACACTTTCGATCTCGGAGTGAGGAGGCTACACGGTCATGATGCATGCTGCCCTGTGCAACACAGATCCCGCGACCTGACAACGGAAACATGGCAGCCGCAATATTAAAACGAAAGAAGGCATCAGGGACACTCAACAGTGCCTTTGGTCATCGGCTCCGATGCTGACAAAAAGTCTTCCGATCGGGGAATTGAACCCCGGTCCCCGGCGAATCTCAGAACCCAGGTTCTTTGGTGACAAGCCGATATCCTAACCACTAGACTAATCGGAACTAGATGACAGGGATAACGTCAGCATGGTACATGACCTTGAACGGCCCGCACACGACAGTAAAGACAAATGCTGAGGGTAATGTACTTTGATAGGCTCGGATGCTGTTCCTCACCTATTACAAATACTCAGGGCATCCTCGAAGCTTTCAGAATAAATAAGAGCGAGACTATATTTTTCATCGTCATCAGTGTACGAAGCATACTGACAGAAATCGATAAACCCGCTCCTCCTGAATCTCAATCTCCAATGTCCACGAATCAACCCATCATCGCAGCTCCTACACTGGTCTCACGTAGCTACCCAAAGCCTTGCACCCTCGGCATACATCCAGGCCCCCTGCCATGCACAATCTAGCGAACCCTGGCCGCGATCCAAGAAGCCGCGGCGGGCGCGTCCTGCTGGTACTGCGTGTGGGCAGGGGTGATGGTGAAGCCGCCCTCGCAGATGTTGTCCCCGGTGCGGCAGATGACCCGCGTGCGCGAGGCGGGGATGGTGCCGAACGGCTGGTTGCGCTTGGGGTCGCCAAAGGTGAGGACTAGTCTTGTCAGCTTGATGAAATCCTGACTGGGCCGCATCATTGTATGAGAGAAAAAAGGGAACAGCATACCGGCGGTGACCCTGTTGGTCTGGGCGGCGGTCAGTTGACCGGCAGCGTTGTGGACGACCTGCGCCCCCTGGCTGTAGCCGCTGAGGACGATCTTGGTGTTGGGGCACTGCGTCACGGCCTGGACATGTCATGGTCAGCTTGGTGCTCCTGCTTCACTGTCGGCGTGTACTAGTGGCTCGGAGAGGTCTTACGCGGGCAGTGAGCTGGGCCATGGTGCGGCTGCCAGCGGCGTCGCCGCCGGCCAGGAAACCGGCGACGTTGGCGGGGTAGGTCACGCCCTGGACGGCGAGGTTGGCCGTTCCGATGAGGCGCGCAAGGTTGTTGAAGGTCAGGGGACCGACGGCGGCGGGATCGCCGATGTTGCCCTGCTGGGTGGTGCCGCGGGCGTAGATGAGCGTCACGGCGCGGCAGGGGGTTCCGTCCGTCAGCTGGTTCGAGACGCTGGCGGAGTACTGGCGTGCCGCGAGAGGGGTGGCGGGCGAGGTCTCCTCAAACTTGGAGGCATAGTAGGCCTCGAGCTCGGCGAGGGGGAAGTCGGGGTCGAGCTGCGAGGAGGGGGCCTCAACAGGGGCAGCGAGAGCAGTACCCGCGAGGGCGAGCAGCAGGGTCTGGACGGCCTTCATGGTGGCGGCTGGATGGGTGAACCAAAGAGGGAGAGGAGAGAGAGCCGGTGGAATTCC